GGGGGCTATACCCCCAAAGTCAAAATTCGGCTCAAAATTATGGAATTTGAGTTGTAGGCATTTTTAGCTTCCTCAGCCTCTCCTACAACAACTATTTCATCACATAAGAACCCCCAAAACCGTATTTTCCCCCATACCGGATATGTTTGTAACCACCATTTCCTCATAAAGTCAGAATTTTTTTTTCTTTATCGGCCGTTTTCTCAAAACGCGACTTTCCTCTATACTTTTTTGAATAACTCCACCATTTTTCATACAATCTTCATGAAATTTTCACAGAATGAAGAGAAGATATAATACTAAGAATATTCTGTTGAATTTTTGATATATGGAATATATTTTTGTTGGTGGTGTCTGGAGTGTGGATTTTTACGGATTTTTTGAAAACTTGAATGCTACCTCAGGAAAAAATTCATTAAAAATTTTTAAAATTCGTTTAGGAAAAAAACAAAACAGACACATTTTTAGATCTAATGTTTGTGAACACGCATGCAAAAAACCATTCATTTTCCATGAGCGATAAGTGCGGTATTCATTTCGTAAGACATGTCAACGAAATCCAATTTGGCCGCCGTATCCATGGAAACGAAACTTTTTCTCAAATTTGAATGAGGATTTAAAGACTCCTTACCATGCTTGTTATATGTGTGAAATTTGGTAAAATTCGGTCCAGTAATAAGCGAGATAGCCTTCAGGTGTAAAATCATGTTCATGACCTCTCGCCTCTCACTGTAAAATTAGAAAAACAGTTGCCCCTTCCACGTGAAAAGGTTTTTTGGTCAGCGTGACCGTTTTAAAGAGGCGTTCTCAACTATTCTTGTTTTACAGTCGTAATGACACAGTTGTGGTGGTGGTCAATTCTTGTTTTACAGTCGTAATGACACAGTTGTGGTGGTGGTCAATTCTTGTTTTACAGTCGTAATGACACAGTTGTGGTGGTGGTCAATTCTTGTTTTACAGTCGTAATGACACAGTTGTGGTGGTGGTCAATTCTTGTTTTACAGTCGTAATGACACAGTTGTGATGGTGGTCAATTCTTGTTTTACAGTCGTAATGACACAGTTGTGGTGGTGGTCAATTCTTGTTTTACAGTCGTAATGACACAGTTGTGGTGGTGGTCAATTCTTGTTTTATAGTCGTAATGACACAGTTGTGGTGGTGGTCAATTCTTGTTTTACAGTCGTAATGACACAGTTGTGGTGGTGGTCAATTCTTGTTTTACAGTCGTAATGACACAGTTGTGATGGTGGTCAATTCTTGTTTTACAGTCGTAATGACACAGTTGTGGTGGTGGTCAATTCTTGTTTTACAGTCGTAATGACACAGTTGTGGTGGTGGTCAATTCTTGTTTTACAGTCGTAATGACACAGTTGTGGTGGTGGTCAATTCTTGTTTTACAGTCATAATGACACAGTTGTGGTGGTGGTCAATTCTTGTTTTACAGTCGTAATGACACAGTTGTGGTGGTGGTCAATTCTTGTTTTACAGTCGTAATGACACAGTTGTGGTGGTGGTCAATTCTTGTTTTACAGTCGTAATGACACAGTTGTGGTGGTGGTCAATTCTTGTTTTACAGTCGTAATGACACAGTTGTGGTGGTGGTCAATTCTTGTTTTACAGTCGTAATGACACAGTTGTGGTGGTGGTCAATTCTTGTTTTACAGTCGTAATGACACAGTTGTGGTGGTGGTCAATTCTTGTTTTACAGTCGTAATGACACAGTTGTGGTGGTGGTCATGTTGTACAGAATATATTATAGATTCTGACAAGCCTAGTTCACCGCTACCTACCTTAACAGACTTGTTGGGCTAGACACGACCAACGCGCGATCTTTTCACCTTTTCTTCATGTTTTCTCCGTTTTTTATATTATGGCATCTTTAAAGACATTCTCTTGTGTTTGTTCATTCTTTTCTATAAAAAAAAAACCTATCGCCTCTATCTCCCCTCCTCCTTTTTAGTGTTTGTTACTCTCTTGTAACACCTCTAATCTTCGGCACTTATATGACCTTATAATTGTGTTGCAAGTGCCGTAAAACTCCTACTAAACTAAGAAAAACAACAAGACATTATCTCATTTTAACTGCTCATACTACCCTCAAAGTGTTCTTTAAGAAGTCTCCCTAGATCTAGATCTGTATTCAACTCCGTATCCGTGCAATAACCCGCCGAGAAAAATGTGTGCTGAAGTACAGGGTAGTCAACTTATTGTTGTTGTTGTTGTTGTTGTTGTTGTTGTTGTTGTTGTTGTTGTCGTTGTTGTTGTTGTTGTTGTTATTGTTCTTCTTCTTATTGTTGTTGCTGCTGCTATTGTTGGTTTTATTGCCCTTATTGTTTTTGTTTTTTCAGTTGTTATTGATGTTGTTTTTGTTGTTGCTATTGTTTTGTTATTGTTGTTATTATATTGCTTTTGTTGCTATTTTTTGTCATTGATTTTTGTTGTTGTTGTTGCTGTTGTAGTTATTATTTTTATTGTTGTTGTTGTTATTTTTATTGTTATTGCTCTTGTTGGTGTTATTGTTGCTGCTTTTGTTGTCGTTGTTGTCGTTGTTGTTGTTGTTGTTGTTGTTGTTGTTGTTGTTGTTGTTGTTGTTGTTGTTGTTGTTGTTGTTGTTGTTATCCTTAGGTCTTGAAAAATAGATAAGTCCACGCCATGCTCTCCTCCACAGTGTGGTTGTCCAGTCTGAGGCCAGGAATTGTGAGGTACTCCTCCTCCCCCTGGTCCGGGAAAAGTTCTCGCCTCAAACCAAGCAGACGACAGGGGGCGTGGCAGTCGTCAGGGTACCACCACCCGGCGCCATGACGACCTGCACAGTCACTTCCGGTCGTCTCGTGATCCCAGGCAGAGAAAGACACACCGGAAATGTTCTCGAAACAGTTGCTCAGACTCAGGTCAAAATCTGTCGCCGCTGGAACCTGACTGCTTGCGTCATTGGCCGTGGTGTAGGAGATAGGGTAGCCGCTAGACGGATCTCCGATCTGAAACCCGGAGTATCTCCACTTGAAATCGCCCATACCTGGGTTGTCAAACACGACGCTATACAGTGCTTCATCAAAGCCTTGTTGGTTGAGAGCTCTCACGTTGTCCAAACCCATCCAGTAGTTTTTGGAGTTGATGTAGTAGCCAGACACAAAGTCTTCATACGTCTTGTTGTGTGGTTGTCTCCCGTCTGACCTAAATATTGTCGTAATAACTTTCGCACCTGGTCGGTTGCATTGCGTTCGGGTCAGTTTGGTGACGTCATGCTGAGGGTCAAGCCAGACAGGCCCTGACCTTGTCCCATATTCTCTCTGATAGAACTCGACACAGTTGTACGGATATCGCTCACATTCATCCCCCGCCCACCCATCATTGCACAGACACGTTTTTGTTTCTGGGATAAAGTCACCGCCATTTTGACAAGGGACCTTTTTCTTAAAATGTACCAACTCGCTCGACGAATCAGAGCACGTGGTGTCTGGGGGGCAGTGGATGTGAAGGAAACAGGTTCGAGTCTGTTCGTTCCAGCTGACAGCCGAGCAGTCGGTGGTTTGGCTACAGATGGACGTGCATTCAACGACAGATCGAGCAGTGACGTCATCCACGGCCGACATACATCCGCTAGACAATTTGGCAGAGACGTCACACAAAGGGGTTTTTGTGTACTCAGTCTCTGTAGTGGAGGCTGAGGCAGCAACAGCAACAGCAGCAGAAACAGCAACAACAGCAACAGCAGCAGCAACAGCAACAACAGCAGCAAACGCCAAGGCAGGAAGGTCCCGGGTCATAGTGAAGCAGGACATTCTGAGAAATCACTGTCCAGATTGTCCTCCCAGAGTTAGTTCTGTGAGATGTGGAGAAAAAGAAACGTTATCGAAACTTTGAAACGTGAGGCCACTGTCATGCTTTTGAAATACCGTGTGTAAATAGACAGCGAAAGATCTTGTCAGTTTGTTGGTGTTTGAGCGCTTAATCAGCTGCTTGCACAGTATGCTTTCCGGGAAGCTGAGAGTTTTTTTGAGCGTTCTTGTGGTATCAGGCTCTCGCCAATTTTTGGGCATGTAGAGATATTGGTATCATCTTAAAGCTTGTTCATATGTCTTGCGTAGTATGAAAACAATAACAATATCCATTTATCTTGAATAGAAGTCGAGAAATTTGCGAATGAAGGAGGTAGGGCTCACTTGGTTTCAGAGGTAAAATTAGTGAGAAAAGGGCTGCCAAAGATGAGGGTTTTTTTCTTGGCTTAAGAGTTCGTAGAAACTCAAAATGTACATTTTTTCGGCCTTTAATGAACGCTTTTCAGTTAAATCCACACATACCTGTTTTCTTTGGTGGACATAAAAGGTGCTGAGCCAAAAAACAAAAAATCAGATAAAAGTTCACAAACCTGCCGAAAAAATGCCACTTTCTTAACTTCGATTATTTTGACGAGCTCCCGATTTCACTACACTGCCTCACATCTGATATGATAAGCCCCACTCTAACCTCCGTTATTAAACATCCACTATAGCTTGCACTTTGTGTTGTCCCCGTTTAAAAATAAGTTCTAGCTCATTGATTAATTTGTCTGTGCCCATGAAACTTTGCTGGGCATTTCATCGGGCCAGCGATCAATAGATAGCTGTGAATAACTTTGAGTTGCGCAAAAATCATTATTGTTTAAGAGTACAGTCTAATGATCCCAGATGTACTCAGTACTTAGAACGTGGGTGTTGACATAGATTGTCCATTCAAGACTTAGAGCAAGAATATATACATGGCGAAACACACACTTAAGGAATATATACATAGGCAATACACACATAGACAAACAAACACACAAATAAGAAATATATACATAGGAAATACACACATATCCAAACAAACACGCACATAACGAACACGCACATAAAATACATAGCCAAAAATTCACATAGCCAAACAAAAATACACATAGCCAAACACACACATAGCAAAATATACACTTAGCGAAACATACAAATAGCGAAATATACACACACGTAGCCAAACACACACATTGCGACAGCAAATACACGCACATAGCCAAACAGGCACATAACGAACTCAAATAGCGAACAGATCTAAAAGTCCCGATTTTTTTCTCTTATGCATATTCTTGATATTTAGAATACACACACAACGAAATTTGTACATAGCGAACAGATTTCCGAGTCCCGCTGCTTTCGCTACTTGCGCCTTAGACTGTATGTAGGAATGTAGATATAATATAGCGCTAATAGTATGACTTTATGCAGTTGCGTGCGCCGTAAAACACTTAGATCTACCTAAAAATATTTTAAAAAATAAGAAAACAAAAACAAGAAAAGATGCAATACATGGTTTGGCGGACATGAGTTACCCTGATTTTAAAAAACCCAACTACTCATAGAATCAGACAGTTATATTCTTATCTAAACAATAATGTTTGGTCCTTCCATGTTTCAGTCGTTTACGAATTTGCACGTTTAGTTTTCATGGTATGCTTGGTTTTTTTTTGCATTTCAGTTAGTGTAAACAGGAACTGGAAAAAAGCAATTAAAAAAACAGAGTTTTGCTCGTCTTATTTATCTACCGCGCACCAAATTGGCGTTTTCAAACGTTGGCGACGGACCAGAAAGTAGGGCCTCAGAAAGTTAGAGGTTGCTTTGACTGATGTGTACGCTATGACCACCACAAGTATGTGATAACGGCTATATATGACCACCACAAGTTGTGATAACAGTTATATATGACCACCACAAGTATGTGATAACGGCTATATATGACCACCACAAGTTGTGATAACAGTTATATATGACCACCACAAGTATGTGATAACGGCTATATATGACCACCACAA